ATATCTTAAAATAAAACCAAGTAATATCAGTACTTTATGGCATTTTTGATGGTGCATGAAATGTGCATATAATAGGAATGACCCTTTACTCCCCCCCATATCAATTAAAATCGGCTCTTACACAGTAAACTGATTAATAATTATATGATCTATATGTGATGGTAATGAAAGCGGTGTTTCATTCTTCTGACCTTGTATTTGTCAGGACTGACCATGATAGTCAGTGTGAATGTGGAGCCCCGAGGAAAAGGAGCCTCGTACTTTCGCTCCTCTGCGCCCCACGCTGAGTTCCTGTAGGTGTTCAGGACCACGTATGCAGGATGACTATCAAACCTCGGGTTGAAGTGAAGCGCTACGTCCGCTTCCGCCCATGACCCGCACTGCAAGTTCACATGGACCCTGGCGTAAAGTACAAGATCCAGAAATGAGATTTCACTCGCAATTCAGTTGACACGATTCCTTCTCTCCCAATAACTTCACGACTTGTGTTAGTACAGGGTTTCTGCAGGTTTCAACAAGTTGAATTTAAGATGTAAGACCTTTTTAAAAATTTTAAAACCATTGTGATTGCAATTTGTTGAGCTATTTCACATCCATGCTGGCAAAAAAGTATGAAGGATGTGAAGGGAGATAAGAGTCCCGGAATTACTCGCAAAGTAAATTTATTTATTCATATTCGTCATGAACATTCAGTTATTTATTTTTTTTGTTATTGCTGAGAGGAGACGGCCACGGTAGCCCACACACCATATCGCAAAACTAACTGGGCGTGCTCCGATAAAACTGGGCTACACAGTTAATGGTTAGCAGGTAGTAATTATTGGCTCCATGTTGGTTTCGTTTTGTTGTTTCGTTAAAGCGTAATATTTTTTCTCCCAAAGCAAATTTAAAAGCGAGACTTCAGTTAATGCAGCTTTATAAAAGTACAGTAGCCTCCCCGTAGACACGGGTGATGCGTTCTTAAGACAACGGATAACAACAAACCACCCGCGGACCCCATACACAGCGTGATTTCCGTGTAGCCTTCATGCGTATGGTAAAGTTGAACTGATAAATTATGCACAGTAAGACATTACCACACAGTAATAATAAAGTACATTGTATATTATTATATAGTGCTGTACAGTGCGGTACTCGTTTGAATGAAAGGGACTATGACATATTAGACTAATTCACAAGAGACGATATAGCAATAAAAATAACACATATCCAAGGCGTGGCGGCGCAATGAAAATCATGTTTTTTACACTCCCCAAACGACAAAAGAACAATGAAAAACGTAGGCAACTTACACATTATGCAAAGAAAAATAATGTATCAGGTAATTACCCATACATAACTTGAAATAGGAAAAATATATATATATATATCTTAGCTTATAATTGTGGAGTAGCCTACTCAGCGGCTTACAGCTGGCTGTACTCGCATGCAGCGGGATTTTAAACTTAGGAAGCCTGCTGTCATTTTTAAACTTTTTTTCCGACAGCAGTAAACTGCAGATAGTTATAATTGGATTCGTGATTTTAGTTAATAATCCAGTCAATTTCTAAGAAAAATCGTTGGCCTCTGTCATTTTAAGGGCTAAAATTCAGATTATTGAATTTCAGACTTTTTAACGACTTCAAAGATA